CTTTGGGGCTGTTTTTCTTTAGATGGAACTGGGGCCTTAGTCAAGGTAGAGGGAATTCTGAACAGTTCCAAATATCAGTCAATATTGCCAGGAAACCTTCAGGCTTCTTCTAGAAAGCTGAACATGACAACAACATAACAACCCAAAGCATACATCCAAATCAACAAAGGAATGGCTTCACCAGAAGAAAAGTTTTGGATGGCCCAGCCAGAGCCCAGATCTGAATCTGACCGAAAATCCGTGGGGTGATCTGAAGAGGGCTGTGCACAGGAGATGCACTCGCTATCTGACAGATTTGGAGTGTTTTTTGCAAGGAAGAGTGGGCAAATATTGGATGAAGGTTAGCAGTGACAGCCCCATATTTTTGCTCATGCAAGATTCACTTTAAGTCACTCTTCCAGCTTAAATGCTTATAAAACAGAATTGTTCTCAAGATTTTAAGGCTTTTTGTATGATTCCACCTAAATCTGACTTTAACTGAAACTCCTGTGCTCAGCTAAATAATGCACACAATTTAATGTGATAAAGCAGTTGGTAAAATCCTGCATCTCTAGCATGCGTTTGCTTTTTAGAAGCAGTATTAGTGTTTCCACACATGTGACGTTGCCCTGGTGATAATGGACATCACCACTAATATGGAGGCTGCTTTGCACCCATGTAGCTCCGTGGTATGGCGAAGGCTGTAGAGCAGCTGCATTGTTCCTGCTATAATTACTTTATCATTCACAACAGACTTGTCTTTCACTGTGTGAGGCATAAGGTTGCCTGAGTCTAGGTGAAAAGCTGTGAGTGACGCAGGTTCCTCATTCAGAGATGTGTCCATTTAGTAGAGAGCTTTTGATTTTCAGATGTTCACTACACATACCTGATATAGTCATTCTCCAAGCTTGTCTTGGCTAGTCACAATGGTAATGTTTTTGTTGCTAAGGAAATAACAAGCCTATAAGGCTGAGTTCACAGTGATAAAATAAGGAAATAAGTATTTGATCCTCTGCTGATTTTGAATGTTTGCCCACTCACAAAGAAATGATCAGTCTAAAAATCAAATGGTAGGTGTATTGTAACACTGAGAGACAGAATAACAACAAATAATTCAAAAGAAATGCATGTCGAACAATTATCACCGTAGCTTTGCACAGGGGCTTCTGGAGAGAAGATGGATGTCCGCAGTATTTTAAACATTTTTATTTAGATTTGTTTAGTTGGCTTTCTGCAAGACAGGGTCATTTGTGGGTTTTATTTATTTTTGCAGTGGAAACATGGATTTACTTTTTTGGCTTTCAATTTGATATTGAAAATTCGCCATTGTGTATACAGGATTGAGTGTAGCTCAGGGTTCGGCAACTGCCGACACTCGTGCCAGAGAAGGCACGTAATCCCCATTCTGCTGGCATACGACAGAGATGCACAGCGAATGCCTGCCAATCCACCTCTTGTGTCCATCCCGAGCACTTTTATCTGACATCTCATACAAGTGCCTGGGTGGGAGGTGGATCAACAGAGACTAGCATGTCAGAACAGGTAGCTATGTCTCGCTGCTGCTTCCTTGCACCACTTTGTATATGGAGGGTGTAAAAACAAATCAGTTTTGATTGTGCTGTCACTGGGGGGACATAATAGCCTGGGGTTTGTGCAGAGTCACTAATAATTATACAAAGAGAGCTTGTGAGGCAGTAACAGAACCTAGCCAATGCAGAGCCAGCATGCTGTATACAGGGGGAAACTGGTTAGCGGGGTTGTTTCAAATACACACAGGTCTTTTGGGCCATACAAAGAAGTGGACAATGTCTGCACTCTTCATTATTTACTCTCGACCCCTGAACTCTTCATTATTTACTCTCGACCCCTGAACTCTTCATTATTTACTCTCGACCCCTGAACTCTTCATTATTTACTCTCAACCCCTGAACTCTTCATTATTTACTCTCGACGACCCCTGAACTCTCTTCATTATTTACTCTCGACCCCTGACTCCATTAACTGCGCCCTGAATTACTTATTCCTCACTACTGCACTCTGCTTTACAAGTTACCGAACCCCACATTTTCTGTTACATTTGACTGACCCCTGCACTGTACATTACTTCTGAGGCCTGTACTCTGTGTTACATACTACTGATCATTGTACTCTGCAATTACTTTTTGTTGACCCCTGCATTCTGCATTTCTTTTGGCCACTGAAGTCTGCATTGAATACTACTGCCCTCTGAGCTCTGCATTACTGACTCCTTACAACTGCACTCTTCAATTACTCCTCACCTCTGCACTGCGCTTTAATAACTACGAACCCTTGCACTGTGTGTTACATATTTCTGACCCCTGCACTCTGCATTACATACTCTGACCTTTGCACTGTGCATTACAAACAACCAACCTCTGGTCTGTGTGTTATATAGTGATCCTGTCACTCTGTGGTTTGCTCCCTGATATCAGAGCCATTTTTACCTACCCTGACATCATAGCATTTCTTTTGACCAGCATCATCAGGCATTTTTCTCCTACTGAGCAATGATTATGGACAGTTTTAACTTTGCTTGGCTTCATTGGTCAGCAGAAAAAACACGTGTTTTTTTTTTTTTTCCTCCCACTGGCCACCCACACCAGAACATTTTTATTCCCTTTTAGTGACCAGCAGTGTACAGAGTACACCATTCAGTTTTTATTTGCTGTCTGTGCCCCTTTTAGGGAGATTCAACCTTTCTGTTTGTCCTATTTACCTGTATCATTGAAAGTGAAATAAAAAAAAATCCAAAATTTTTGGTTGTCCCCAGAAAAGTAATAGAGGGGAAATCTTCCAATGGGTCCCCAAGGAATTCCCTTAATGTTCAGGGATTTCCTCTTCCTGTTTGGCTATGGGTCAGGAAGTGAAAGGAAATCCCTACAATCGGAAAATTTGATGGGTTATAACCCTCCCTTCAATGATGGAAGATATGTTATTGCAGTCACTGACAACAGTCTTTGGGGGTTATTATTGTAGACCTTGTCCAATTTTGGGGATTATTTTTTCAAAGTTTAGTTTATGGCACCTCAATTTAATTGCTAAATATTAGTTTTCTTGATTTTATCTTGTCAAGTAGACCTTTTTTTTATTTATCTGGCCCTGTCTATTTTTTACAAACCTTCATCAACACACTATGCTAAAAAAAAAAAAGGTTGCCTATCCCTGGTGTAGCCTCTTATGGCAGCTGAATACTGAAAAATGCTAGTTGGCCATATAATCAAGAGCCACTGGCCTGGAGCCAAACATGCAGCACATAAAGTCAAATCTATTGATTCTCATACATGTTCAGTGACTCAGAAACTATTGAAGTCTTTAGATCTGCTTGACAGTCGGGGAGCAATCATTTTCAGTGAATGCATATATTTAGGGCTGGTTCACACCATGCCCGCATCTGAATTGCATAGGAACGTGCAAAATCCACTGCTGTTGCGATCTGCAAAGGAGGTCAATAAAAATTTAATAACTAATTTAATTTAAAACGCAGTGCGTTTGCCCACACCTTCCTGCATGAGATTTGCATGTTAATTTTGTACCATGTGATCCGGTTGCATGCACTACTTTTGGTGCGGTGTGATTTTTCGCTCATTCAAAATGAATGTGCTTGAAATCGCCCCACACAGAGCAGCATGTGAATCGATTCAGCTTCAGTCATGATGTGAACTGACCCTTAAGATCTCATTCACATAATGATGTACTTAACTGTGCACATGTGGAGGGCCATGGTTACCTGCACAGGGATGGACAGGTGCTCTATGCATACTCATATAGGCAGTCCCTGTAATGTCAATTGTGATGTAGCTGCCGCATGGAAACAGCTGCTGCTCACAATGCCTCATTGTGAAGCCGAGTTCTGGTTTCTGGCTTCTTCGGCACCGCTGCTGAGGTGACAGGTGCAGGAGAGGTCCGCTCTCCTCCGCTGAGAGGAGACACCCTCTCCACCGCCGCGGGGGACTCAAGGAGTAAGCACTGTATACATGTCATATCACTATAATGGAGTACAGGGGAGCTGGGATATACATTACTCAGTTATTTACCCAGTAATTATAATTCATGAGTGTTGTGTTACCTCCAATACTGCTGCTTTCAACACAGTAGCTGCTTTCAACACAGCAGCTGCTTTCTAAACAGTAGCTGCTCTTTTACACATCGGAAATGTGTTTTCTGATGGTCTTAGGGGACCCCTGTGAAAGGGTCGTTCGACCCCCAAAGGGGTCGCGACCCACAGGTTGAGAACCACTGCAGTAATGTATATCACAGCTCCCCTGTACTCCATTATAGTGATGACATGTATACAGTAATGATTACTGTATACATGTCATATCACTATAATGGAGTACAGGGGAGCTGGGATATACATTACTGTGTACATGTCATATCACTATAATGGAGTACAGGGGAGGGGGGATATACATTACTGTATACATGTCCTATCACTATAATGGAGTACAGGGGAGCTGGGATTTACATTACTGTGTACAGTTTTATATTTTGGACTCTTTATTCTAAAGAAAAATGTAATTTCATAAGCTTTAAGGGGGCGTGGTTGGGGGCAGGCCAGGGGTGGGGTTGGGTGGGGCAACTGGTGGAGAGAAAGGTTTGTGCCTGGGTAGTAGGTCTAGACTCGAAATTTTAAGCCCTGTCCGAAGATGAAGATGAAGCTCCTATTAGAAGTTCCTTGAAAAGCTCACTGAATCTGGCTGCAAAGAGTAATCTAAAAGCTTGCTTGCTGAATTTTTGAAGGATGCAGTTGAATTGAATGAAACAATGTAGATCAAAGCACACCAAATGCCGCATGTATTGGAAAATTAAGAATAAGCCAGTATAATGCAGAAAGCCATTTTTTCATAGTGCATTTGAGGTTAACCTGTATATTCTTTGGAAACTGCAGTGACCACTGGAGTTTTTCATGTAAAATGATTGACTGTGTCCTAATTTTTGATTATAAGTAATAAAGGCAATAGGGTGAATTAATTGTAACTTTTTTTTGTTATTCATTGCAGACCCCGTGGTTATGGGATACACGACAGTGCTGGTACAATTACCCATATCAGGTATAGTTTTCATGTTTGAGGACTGTTTTGTAGACCTGGGACATCAGATATCCCAGTGACATTTTGTCAAAGCAAGTGGGGAGAAAAGTTGCTTAAAGTAATTCAAAACTGAATCATTAGGCTCACCATACTTAACTGTACAGTTCCATTTCTGTATAGTCTCCATTGGATTTAACACAGAACCTATCTAGCCATCCAGTCAATTTGAATCTAATCTGGTAAGCCCTTGCACTACTTAAAGTGGTAATAGGCCCAAAACCAAGAATGTAAAATATAGCCGCGTATGAACCCTTAAATATGGTGGCTGCATTTGTTTTCCTTTTTTAGGCTTTTTTTTTTTTTTTTTTTACCCTTCATTTCACCTTCCTGTCTTAGGCTGTCTGTATTCTGGACTAAGTGGAAAAGCAGATGCCTTTGGACAGCAGAATTGTCAGTCTGGGGACTGTAGTAGTATTAGACTAGCAGATTTAGATGGACTTTACCTGCAAGTTAAATCTGAACTTAAGCAAACGCCTTATAAGCTGATATGGCAACATTTTTTCCTTCTGGGACAAAGGTTTTACATGAAGCAAAGCTGACTACTGTAAGTACCCCTGTCAGTGGTAAATGATTTTTCACAATCCTCTAACTGCTATTTTGTTTTGACAGTTTCCTTGCTGAAAAAAAAAGCATAAAAAACCCCCAAAAAAAACGAATGCAGCCACCACATCTAAGAATTCGTAAGCTGCAATTTAATACGTTTTTGTTTTTTGGGTTAATAGCGATTTAATTTTTGGTGGATCTTAACCTCTTCCCGTCAGCCCATTCTACATAGACGGCAGACGGGAAGCAGTGCTGATGCAGGCTAACATTCCTGTATGTCAGCCTGCATTGATGTCTCCTGTGCGGTTCACAGAGCATGCACCTCGGAGCCCAGTGATCGGTGTGTCCGCTCAGGCACAGCGGGTCACGTTTCCACTGTTTTTGGGTGATCACGTGATATTTTACCATGTGACTGCTGTGACAAATCATAGCACTCACATAGTGAACAATGAAACTGAAAGTAAAGATCGCTTCTGTCTGCTCTCACACTGACACCTGTCAGGCTGCTTGTCCACTCACTGCAGTGCCAGCCACCCCAGTGCCCCAGTTTAGTGCCCGTGTCCCTGATCACTGCCCCAGTATTTACATAAATAATGCAGAGAGGCCCTGTCACCTGTCCCAGTTCGCACAAAAAACCCCCATACCAGGGTCCCGATCACCGCCGTGCCCCATACCAACGTCCCGATCACCACCGTGCCCCACACCAACGTCCCAATCACCGCCGTGCCCCACACCAACGTCCCGATCACCGCCGTGCCCCACACCAACGTCCCGATCACCGCCGTGCCCCATACCAGCGTCCCGATCACCGCCGTGCCCCATACCAGCGTCCCGATCACCGCCGTGCCCCATACCAGCGTCCCGATCACCGCCGTGCCCCATACCAGCGTCCCGATCACCGCCGTGCCCCATACCAGCGTCCCGATCACCGCCGTGCCCCATACCAGCGTCCCGATCACCGCCGTGCCCCATACCAGCGTCCCGATCACCGCCGTGCCCCATACCAGCGTCCCGATCACCGCCGTGCCCCATACCAGCGTCCCGATCACCGCCGTGCCCCATACCAGCGTCCCGATCACCGCCGTGCCCCATACCAGCGTCCCGATCACCGCCGTGCCCCATACCAGCGTCCCGATCACCGCCGTGCCCCATACCAGCGTCCCGATCACCGCCGTGCCCCATACCAGCGTCCCGATCACCGCCGCCCCATACCAGCGTCCCGATCACCGCCGTGCCCCATACCAGCGTCCCGATCACCGCCGTGCCCCATACCAGCGTCCCGATCACCGCCGTGCCCCATACCAGCGTCCCGATCACCGCCGTGCCCCATACCAGCGTCCCGATCACCGCCGTGCCCCATACCAGCGTCCCGATCACCGCCGTGCCCCATACCAGCGTCCCGATCACCGCCGTGCCCCATACCAGCGTCCCGATCACCGCCGTGCCCCATACCAGCGTCCCGATCACCGCCGTGCCCCATACCAGCGTCCCGATCACCGCCGTGCCCCATACCAGCGTCCCGATCACCGCCGTGCCCCATACCAGCGTCCCGATCACCGCCGTGCCCCATACCAGCGTCCCGATCACCGCCGTGCCCCATACCAGCGTCCCGATCACCGCCGTGCCCCATACCAGCGTCCCGATCACCGCCGTGCCCATACCAGCGTCCCGATCACCGCCGTGCCCCATACCAGCGTCCCGATCACCGCCGTGCCCCATACCAGCGTCCCGATCACCGCCGTGCCCCATACCAGCGTCCCGATCACCGCCGTGCCCCATACCAGCGTCCCGATCACCGCCGTGCCCCATACCAGCGTCCCGATCACCGCCGTGCCCCATACCAGCGTCCCGATCACCGCCGTGCCCCATACCAGCGTCCCGATCACCGCCGTGCCCCATACCAGCGTCCCGATCACCGCCGTGCCCCATACCAGCGTCCCGATCACCGCCGTGCCCCATACCAGCGTCCCGATCACCGCCGTGCCCCCATACCAGCGTCCCGATCACCGCCGTGCCCCATACCAGCGTCCCGATCACCGCCGTGCCCCATACCAGCGTCCCGATCACCGCCGTGCCCCATACCAGCGTCCCGATCACCGCCGTGCCCCATACCAGCGTCCCGATCACCGCCGTGCCCCATACCAGCGTCCCGATCACCGCCCTGCCCCATACCAGCGTCCCGATCACCGCCCTGCCCCATACCAGCGTCCCGATCACCGCCCTGCCCCATACCAGCTTCCCGATCACCGCCCTGCCCCATACCAGCGTCCCGATCACCGCCCTGCCCCATACCAGCGTCCCGATCACCGCCCTGCCCCCATACCAGCGTCCCGATCACCGCCGTGCCCCATACCAGCGTCCCGATCACCGCCGTGCCCCATACCAGCGTCCCGATCACCGCCGTGCCCCATACCAGCGTCCCGATCACCGCCCTGCCCCATACCAGCGTCCCGATCACCGCCCTGCCCCATACCAGCGTACCGATCACCGCCATATGCCATACCAGCATCCGGCATTTTAAGATCTCAACTGATCAATTTTCAAATATAGATCCCATAGTTTGTAGTCTCTATGGCTTTCACACAGACTAAATATGAACTGTTTTGGGTTATTTTTTACCGAAAAAATGTAGAAAACTTAACTATTTGTAAAATTTTATTACAAAAACTAAGCAAAAAATTGTTTTCAAATTTTCGGTATATTTTAATTTATATAGCAAAAAAAATCAAAAAAATCCAGTGGTGATCACATATACCACCAAAAGAAAGCTCTGTCTACAAAAAAAAAAAAAAAAAAAAAGAATAAAAATGTCATATTAGTGCTTTGTTGCATGACTGAGTAATTGTCACTCATAGTGTGATAGTGCTGAAAGCTGGCTTGGGCTGGAGGGGGGTGAAAGTGTCCAGACTTGATTAAAGGAGGTTAAAGGGGATTGTATAGCCAGCTTGACTTCCTGGTATTTTTTTCTATAGAGAGGTGTTGTGGGGTGTGCGTGCGTGTGTGCGCGCTATCATGTCAGTACATATGACCCTCTTTGTTTTGTAATGCTACACTTTTTATGGTCTGTTACAAACGCTGCAAATTTTAGAAAAACATTTTCCCTAGTGTCAGGCAGCACACAATTGTATGTAATATATTAGAGCATTTGCTGGGTACATGTTTTTACATTTAATTGGCAGCACATCTATCATATGTATTTGTTTTCCATTTTCAGCCTCTCACGTTGGGCTTGTACTACTATTATATTCAGGAACTGGCCTTTTACTGGTCTTTAATGTTCTCCCAGTTTACAGATATCAAACGAAAGGTAAGCTTTTCTTCAATAATTATGGTAATTGTGTTCTCTCATGTTTAAACTCCAAGTGTAGAATGTTAAAAGAAATGTACTCTATGAATTTTGGTCTAATTGCTAGGCAGGAGTGATGGTAAAAGGAATCTCATTCTCACTAGTGTATTCTTTAAGGTTCCTGTCACACAATTGGCCTGAGGGAAGTAAAAACAGGCAATTGATTTGCATTTTTTCCCACCACCCCACTTACAAGCACAAGCAGACAAGGTGCCCTGGTCGTGCTGCTTTGCATCATGGTACAGCAATTCTAACACTCTGTGCTCTACCATGGAAGTGAATGGGGCCATGTGGCTGCAGCCACAAGATGAATTCTTGGCTCAAAGTTGTGGCACATTCCAGCAATGCAAACTTCCTTTCACCGCTCTCTAGAAAAACGTTCCAATATGGGTCACTTTTCAAGGTGAGGGGAGGTTAAATACCACCACTAATTAACGGGAGATAAGCAGAAATGACTTTCATTGGTGACAATAGTAGCTAAGCACAAAGCCAGCCTTTCACATACTTATTTTCGCTCTGGAATCTTAGATAAGCTCCTGATATTAGGTGACAATCAGATGCAGTGTTATAATTTGCTGCAGATATTTTTTTTTTTAAATGAGTATTGAATTGAGATGTACATCAGTAGGTAATGCTGTGGCGAGAGTGGCCATACACACCCTGACAAAGCAGACACTGTGTAATGGGACATGTTTATTTTTTATGGTAGGTTATCTGTGCCATCACATATATGAAGTGACTTCAAGTTCTAGTAGATAGAGAACAGCACTTAACACATTGTTTAGTACACAATGGCTGCACAGTGTGGTTTGATGGTATGTGGATCTCCTGGTTTGTGCAAGAATTCTACAGTCAGACTTGTCTTATGCTGGAAATTTACTGTATTATTCAGTTCTAATTGAAGCCAGTGGGACACAAGTCCTGTTTGCCTTCAGTCTCATGTCCTTTAATTGTATTTAGACAGTCTCTAATAAAAGCTTGAATTTCGTTCTTCTGTGCTATAACCAAGGTAAAGTATGCCGGTTGTGTATCTATAAACAATGTAATATACATAGAATAGGATGCTTAATAATGCTACAGGACAGTTATTGCCACAGGCAAAGTTTGTGATCTAACCAGTTTTAAAACTTGCTCAAAAGAAGCTTTTATAACAATGACATGCGGCTTCCCAGTTTCATTAGCCAATAACGGTGTTCTGTTTCTTATAAATGCAAAGCTTGCTGGTGAGATGTGTTTGCATTTATAACTAGTTTCTCTAAATATAGGCAAATGTATGGAAACTTGTAATAAAGAAAAATGATTTATTTGTCCATCACGGGACACAGTAAACTTTTCATGACTATGTGGGTTATATACCACCTATGGGTGAATGGACACCGGCCAACCAATCAGAGACGAAGTCCCCCCTTATATAACCCCTTCTACACAGGAAGTACTTCAGTTTTTCACTAGTGTCTGTAAGGCGGATGGTCACTGAAAGTGTTGCTTGTGCTCCAATGAGCATACCTAAGGTCTGGATGGGTTTCCAGGGGAATTGGATCAAATTAGAAAGCTGCTTAGCCAAAATGGATGGTACATGAGCCTCACTGGATAAAGAGAAGAATCCTTGGGGGTTTTGCCTGTAATGCAGCCTTATGGCGCTGGACCCTGTGTAACCCTGTGCAGTAGAGACTGACCAAGGCATTGTTCTGGTAGGGTGCTGTACAGGTCTGAGGCAGTGGCCCCATTTAATAGGAGACAGAGTCCTTGAGGGTCTATGACACAGCCCGCCGTGATGGATGAAGGTTGGTACCTGACAGAAGTCAGGACCTACAGCAGGACTGGTAAGCTGCCTCTGTACTTTCATAAAATCAAATTGTGGTTTTTGAGGGAAAGGAGGTGTATTTCTGCTGCAGTGGGCTATGGTACTACTAGGGGGAGTGCTTGCTGTGAACCTGCCATTATGTCTGCATGTGTTGTTTTTTTTTTTTTTTTTTTTTTTTTTTTTGGAGGCCAGTAGGGGGAGCAGAATGCCTGGAAGTGCAGCTGGCCGCAGGGCATGCGCACAAGCATCATGCGCAGTAGAGGTTGGAAACGGAAGTTGGCCATGTTTCTTTATCTGGCATCCTGGACACTGTGGTGGGGACACAGAGCAGGCTATTTGGTGGGGGCATGTGAGTACTCCCCTTGGTGGGGACAGTAGGCCAGTCAGTCAGAAAGCAGGGAGTAGCGGTCTCAGTGAGTGTTTGTTTACCACACAAAGTGCATAGCTGTATTGGTCCCTGTGTTGCTCTTTTCTTGGAATACAGGGTAAAGCACTTAATGAAGTAATGTCTTCCAGAAAGCGGATTGGGGGAGGCACGGCAGGAAGGGTCACTAATGCACCACCGTCGGGTCCTGAGGAGCCTAGTCGGAGTTCTGTGATATCCTCTCCTGAAAGGCCAGAGTCAACTGAGAAGGCTGAGCAACTGCGGTTGTCTGGCATTGTGGCTACTGGTGCTTCTGCATCAGCATATGTAACCAAAGACTATCTTGCTTCTGCCTTAGGCAGGCCATAGATGGGCTGTTTATCGGACGAATTTTTGGCCGATAAACGAAAAATCGGTCGGCCCCGTTGCCGATGCCGCCACCAATGTCAAAGAAAACTGCCGTTTTTCGTGGATTTTCCAGCATGACCGATAAAAATAAATGACAAGATCCGTGAAAAACGTCTGACGGGCTGGCCCCACTAACTGCGTGAATATCGGACAATTTTTTGCGCGTCGCTAGAGCCACCAATCCTGGAGCAGGAATGGGTGAAACCTGAGGATGAGGAACTGGGGGAGGGTCAAGCAGTAGAAAAACTCTATCGGAGGGGTCACAGCCTGAAGAGAAGCAGGCAATTTCTGCATCTCAATCACAGAGGTTATTTTTGCAGTACCTCCGTGACATGGTACACTGGTTTCAGGGTACCTCCAGCAGAAAACTTTGAGGTTATTTATTCCTCTCTGGGATCTTTGAAACCTCCGCAGAGGTTCAGGCCTTCCCAGTAAATTCTCTTCTGGAACAAATTATGTATGCTGATAGGGATCACCCAGACAGGGTTTTGGTTCTGCCAAAAAGGTTTTCCTTTTTGTATCCCATGGAAGAGATGTTTGTTAAAGTGTTACTAAACCCATGACCCTGCATTCACTTTATCTGATCTCCCACAGTACACACACTACATGGAAATGCAATTGTTTTAGAAAAAATAAACTGCTAAATACCTTTTCTCATCAGCAGTTGGAGCAGTCTTGTGACTTCAATCGGTGTCCAGTAGAGCACTGGTTAAAGCTTGTAGGGGGGAGTTTTCTTTCTGCTCTAGGAGGATGCAGAACCCCTGACCTCTGTCTGGACATTGCTGATTGGCCCTGTGCTGATCACAAGAAAAAAAAAAAAAACCTCTCTAGCAATACACATAAAACTGAGCATGTGCAGTGTGTCTCCACATGATATGTCTTATCAGAAGATAAGAGGGAGACACTGGAAGAAGGGGAGGATCAGACAAGTCAGGATCAAATAGCATTTTTACACAATGCAGATGATTAACCTCTTAGGTTTCACAGTGAATATAACTATCATGCTTTACTGTATATATAGACTGGGTTTTCTGTTGTAGGATTAGTAACACTTTAAGAAATGGGGGTATGCCTGTAGTGGATGCGGCTGTTTCATCCCTGAATAAGTCTTTAATATGTCCTGTAGATAATGTCCAGGTCTTCAAGGATCCAGCAGATAAGCTGGAATCTCCTTAAGGCCTCTTTCTTCCTGGGCAGGTTCTGCCACACAGTCTGCAGTGGCAGCTATTGGCATTTGCCAGAGTCTTTCTGACCGTGTCAAGTGGTTTCTTGGAAGGTCTTCAGGGCAGGGGGATTATTTGGTTGAGAATTAGGACGATGTTCCATGTGCTTTGTTTTGCGATTTGATGCTCTTAAGGATTCAATTCAGCACATTTCTTGCATGGCCCTCTTATCAGTACAAATGCGCGCAGGGTTTTGTGACTGAAGTGTTGGTCAGCAGAACTGCCATGCAAGAAGTTGTTGGCAGGTTTTCCCCTTTGATGGGGAGAGACTGTTTGGGGAGGATTTAGACAAGTATATTCAGAAGATTTCTGGGGGAAAATGTTCTCTTTTACCCTTTTTTGAAAGGAAATCCAAGCGCCCTTCTTTTATGGGGCGTCATTTTGCCGCACACAGGCCTCAGTCTCCAGGGGTAGGACTCAGATTCAGAACCCAAGGAGGCCCTGGGTGCAAAGGTTAGCCAAAGCGGATCCAAAATCTGCCTTCTTATGAAGGGGCACCCCACTCATTCGGGTGGGGGGGGAAGGCTGTAATCCAAGACAAGTGGGTAGTTTCCACAATTTCCTAGGGTACAGACTGTAATTTCGGATTCTTCTCCCACCCCGGTTTCTAAGGTCAAATGTATCAACAAATCCAAAGATAAGAAGGCTTTTACATGTGCTCAACCACCTATTTTCTCAAGAGATGACCACAAAGGTTCCAGTGGACGAAAGGTCATGGGTTTTATTCAGACCTGTTCAGTCTCAAAGCCAAATGGGGGATGTGAGGCCTATTTTGGACCTCAAGGGTCTTTTCTAAATGTGTTCCGATCCTTTCGTATGGAATGCGTTAGGCCGATAGTGGCTTTGCAGGAAGGAGACTTTTTAGCATCAATCGCCATCAAGGATGCTTACCTGTACATACCAATATTTCTCGCTCATCAAAGATTTCTGCGTTTTTGCAGTAGGGGCTCAGAATTTTCAGTTCATAGCAATTTTGGTCTGTCCACAGCTCCTCGAGTGTTTACAAAAGTTCTCACTGTGGTATTGGTGCTGCTGAGAGCTCAGGGGATATCGATCATAGGATATCTAAACAATCTGTTGCTCTGGGGTCAGTCTATGCTAGATCTGAAGCAGGATGTGGCTTTTATGGTTCACATCCTGAAATGACTGGGCTGGGTGCTCA